AGCTACAGTTGTAGCACTTCATTTTGGTCTTATCCTTCTTGCCTCCACGCTTGCCACGCTTGGCATCTTTCTTTTGTCTCTTAAGTTCAGACTGGTAGGGTGCCTTGTGTCCCATGTTACCTTTCTTGCGTTTCAAACCTGAGTTTGAACTCGCAAAGTTGGCCTCGCTAAAGGATTTAGAAGCCTCTAAGCGTTCATCCTCTAACTCAAGATGATGTGATATATCTTCAAATGTTTTCTCATTTTCATTGTGCGTCATCTGAACCTTCATATGGTCCCAACTTTCAGGCAACGAGCGGAGAACCGCTTGGACTTGCTGTTCATTAGACATAATCTGACCAGCATTTTTGAGCTCTCTAATCATGTTTGACATGATTCTAAGATGCTGCCTCATTGATTGATTTGGGCGCTTCTTATAATCATTAAACTTTTGATTAAGTCTCCTAAGTTTGGTAGCCGATGTGGCACCAAACTTATCTTTCAAGGCCTCCCACATGCCTTTTGCAGTTTCGTACTCTTCAAACTCACACATGAGAACATCTTGCATACAACTCAACAACGTGATACGAGCAATGCTATTCTTTCTTTTCCAAACAACACATGCCTGCTGATCTTTCTCATGTTGAGCCGTAGTACCCTGCTCAGGCTCTTCCATGTGATGGAAAAGAGTCTCCTTAACCTCTTGCTCCTCGAGGACATACTGGACTTTCCGATACCAAATATCGTAATTGTCACCATCCAATTTGTCTCCTCGGTTGAGCTCAGCAATGATGTTCTTACAAGCAGACGACATACCTGCTTGAACATCTTAGAGACATTATTTTCTTTGCATACTCTTAACATATAACATATAACTTTGCCATGAACACAAACTAATAGAAAATAACTCAATTTTGATATGAAATCGAGAGTTCACTATGTTCCCAATCATCACCCATATCAAAACTTTGTTATAATAAATTCATTTGTTCCATGCAAAATTTTAAGTTCTAAACTAATCAGAACTCCCACTTGATCAAAGTATTTTATACATAAATTAACAAATAAAACATATATAAAAAAAATTGATCCAAAAAAAAAAATTCGAAACTTTCAACCCTTATATCTCCCTAACTACGTAACCAAATCATGCGTTCTATATATCAATCGAAAGATAATTTCAATATCTATGCACGGAAACTAAAATCACGTAATTCCGAATTATAGATAGAGAGATATGGACGAAACAATAGTTTCGGTTTTTCTCACTAATTTTCGAAATTCATTCAAACTATTGCGGTTCTCAAAGTGATATTTTCCAGAATCATTCAAGCCTATATGACGAACATATATGCAAAGTTTCAATCCATTTCATTATATATTCACGAATCCACCATTTTCAATCATTTAAGCATTAACCATTTTCTCCAATTCATAATGAACAAGTATGACTGACACATAACCGTTTTAATTCATGATTACTATGAACGTGTTCATTCCAGAACCGAATCCTAATGCTCTGATACCAATGTAAGAGTTTTATGCAGAAGCGTTTAAACCGAAAACATACCTTTGCCCGGTTTAGCGATGAATATGATTCGATATGATTTGAAAACGGATGCAGCGATCGGGGAAGAGATCACAGATGGATATCAACCACTTATCACCGTTCAAATGCCCTTCCAATTGATCTCTCCAAGCTATCTCTCTCTAAAACGTTTTCTCTCTCCTCTGTAATTTCTTTGTTTACCAACAGTCACAAACTGTTGTAAACCAACACAAAATTCTCTCTGCAATGTCTCATATATATACATATTGAAGAGACACAATTTGAAAAATTACAACTCTTCATATATGGAAGTTATAAGAACCAATTTCTCATAACTACTAGTTTAATCAAACCTTGGTATGCTGCCAAATCATGGGCGCAAACCGACCATAATCTAATACTGTAGGAAGTAATTTGGGTCCAACACTTACTTCTTCCCACAATTCATGTCATGTCCTCATAATTATATAGCATCGTATATAGAGTGGATATATTTCCTTGAGCGACGGTGAGATTATGCTCTTTCCAAGCCCAACAAATTGTAAAAATAATACTGTTGTCTAACCATGCTTCTTTACCGCTTCAATAGATATACTGGTTATTTTATCATTTATCTCACAGTTTTATTTTCTCAACATTATTTCCCAACTTACTGCCAAACAAGATTTCTACAAGATCAAGTAAATCGTGTTTGTCAATCTAAGTACTGCAGTAAGTGTTAAGAAATTAGACATGTTCCAAGAAAATGCGGTGGAAGTTCCTAAGGTAATGACCCATATTTCGAAATTAATTATTTTAAAAAGAAAATCATACAGTGACTCGTAAAAAAGGTATGGAATTTCATATATCATATTATGAAATATAAAATTAAAGGAATTGTGGTTGTGCGGAAAAAAAAGAAAAGCAATAATTAGTTTCTTTTTTCAAATAAGTTTGTTTGTTTGTGAAAGGTCGTCAAATATGTTAGGTTCAAACTACAAAATGAGTATGCAGCCATGGAAAATAGTGGGATTCAACAACAATTCACTCCTTTAATTGTTGGAATCCTCAGGGAATTATACAGTTCATATTACAGATTGGTTGAGTAGCTTTATCAAGGTTAGATAAGGATCTTATCTGATCCCTTTTCCATACGCAAAAAGTCTTCTAAGGAGTTATCCTTTTGTTTCTACACATGTTGGTGGTTCTAGTTTTCTACATTACACCACTCGTCTTGTAAGCATTTGATTTAAAACAAAAACAAAAAAGGCTGTAAGATTACAAGATTACTAGCTTAAAGACAATGAGAAAAATACTGATTAAAATATATTCTTCCTATAATTAAAATTAGCGGAAAAGATGTAAAGAAAACCCATTTTGTCGCGTGGGATATACCCCTAGTTATATAAATGGACAATTCATCCAATTATTGCACATCATGTGTAGTCTCACACGTAGAGAATTAATTGACATAGTTCACTAAAACAAACTGGGAAAATTCGATGTATATTTATTTATTACAAGGTGACTGATGGAATTAGTCAAGAATACAAAATAGTAGGGGGAATATTCTCCTACCGTCCTACGTACTTGACTGTGTTGAAGCTCTAATCAACTTATCAAATAGCTTCCTTCACCCAACTCATAGTTAGTTTACTTTCTTCATTGAGAGTATGGTTACTACTTACTTTGAGAGAATGGTTGGTATTACCTTGATATAATGGGGTTTTCGATGTTGGTTATATGGCACCCTAAGTTTTAATTATTGTACATATTTATTTCTGTATTAATGAAGATTTAGTTGACGACAAAAAATAGAGTCAAGAATAAATTAAAATAGTCAGGATTATATCAGTGTCATAATTATTTACCAAGGAAGCTACTTGGATCTTTCAAAAACAGTTTTTTATTTTTAGAAAAATGAATTTGAAAAATACATTTTTTATTTCTATTTCTATTTGACAAAAAAAAACCTATTTCTCTCTTGATGAAGAAATAGATGAATACACATACTTCTCTGAGCATGTAACAAATGAATACACATATCCATCGAAAAGATCCCTACCTAATAGTCATAAAATATTACATTCTTTCAACGCGTAATGTATGAATGGGAGTCTATGTCATATTATAGCATGGATTTTAAATATCATATTTAGGCCTTGAATGTTTGCAGATTTTAGAATAGATTTTGGTTTTTGTTTTTCAAAAATCTATTTTTTCATCCATTCAAGATTTTAGTAAAACTGATTCCCTATTTTTTAGGAAAACTAGTTTTTCAAATAACTACCATTTTGTAAACAAAAACTAAAGTCTACTCTTATATAGTTTTTATCTCAATTGTCGCGACTTTTTGTTCTATAAAAATAAAATATATATATATATATATATTAATTAAACAATTCTTAGCCATCAATATATTTTTTACATAAAATCATCAGTCTCATACTATCATACATACAAAACAAATCTCATAATTTTGTCAATTAAATTTCTGCAAAATAAATTTAATTTTATTAATAAAAATATATCTAAATTAATAACTTTAAAAGCATACATATTTACATACACATTCATATATGCATTTCAGTAAAAATGTGCTTGTTTTTTTAAACACTTAAAACGAAACAAAGTTTGAAAAAACATAAACAAATATAAATCAAGGTTTAAATATATATATATATATATATAAAACAAAAACCAAAATATAAATAAACCACCATTCAAGTTTTTTGAACCCAAAATCTACAGCAAAATCAAAAACTGAAAACTCAAAAACTAAAATCTAAAAACCAAAAACCAGAAGTCAAAAACCAAAAACTAAAATCTAAAAACCACTCAAACATTCATGGCCTTAACTCTAAGATCAGAATGGCAGTTAGTATTTCAATATCAAATCCATGTAATAAAATGTCATATCCTATTCATACATGCGCGTTAAATATTATTTTTTCAAAGAAAACAAAATAGTTAATAGAAAGAAATATAAACAGCAAAAAAATTTTTTCCCTAAAAGGTTTATAAGTCAAATAGTTACTTATTAAAAGGTAGTTATTGATTACAATCGTCAGGAGATGAAGTGTGATCATAATCTGTTTACCAAGAAGCTTCTTATACATATCGTTCTTTTTTTTTCGACTTTTGAAATCTTTCAAAATACTTTTTCAGAAAAAATAAAATTCAAACCCTTTTTTATCGACATCTAATAGTCATATACTCTTACTTTCTTTCTTTTTTTTTTCTTAACTAATATTCTTTTATTCATCTTACATTCTTACATTCTTTAACGTGTATGGATTTTAACATACTTAATTTTAAGATCAAATTGGTAGTTAGTAATTCAAAACAAACTCCATGCTATATTATGTGCATAGACTCCTATTTATACATACTCGTTAAATATTTACTTTCAAGAAAACGAAATTCAATACCAAATTATTATATAAAGAGGAATGCTCTTCACAAAGCCACAACAAGCCCTTACACAAGACAATCAGAGCTCATTAAGTTAGTATTATGGCTTAAGTCTTTCTAATAAAACCAACAAAGGAGAAAGAAAGAAAAAAGAATGGAAAACGCTTCGACCGTGAGATTTTCTAGCTGTCGAGGAGTATCGTTTGAAATTAAACCCCATGCAAACCCTTTCGCTATCGAAACAACTGATCAAAACCGCAACGCAAACGCTGAAAACGAGGAAACAAGCAGCAGGTTTCGACTTCCGTGGGATTTCATGAGAAATGCCTCACAAGTTTTCCCTTCATCCATTCAACACTCCATGAGCCGAGCCAGCAGCCATTTCTGCAATTTGGATCCCGACAACAAAGAAGAAGAAGAACAAGAAGAAGAAGAAAGAGACGAAGTTTACTACTTAGAAGAAGGTGGGAATCAATGAAGGAGACGAAAAGGCCATCCTTGCTTCTTCCGCAAGAAAAGACAGCGAGAAACCGCCGGTTCCAAAGAAACGCGGTTCAAGACTATCCATTATACTTTTTGATCAAGGATTTTTCACCGTTTACAAACGACTCTTCGTTCTCTCTTTCTCTCTAAACGTCCTAGCTCTCGTCCTCGCATCCACAGGACATTTCTCTTACGCTAGAAACAGAGCATCTCTGTTTTCAATCGCCAACATTCTTTCCCTAACTCTTTGCAGAAGCGAAGCCTTCTTGAGACTCATCTTTTACCTAACTGTAAACCTCCTTGGACGCTCCTTTGTCCCTCTCCGCGTCAAAACCGCGGTTACATCGCTCTTGCAAAGTCTCGGCGGTATCCACAGCGGCTGCGGCGTTTCCTCAATCGCTTGGCTCATATTCTCATTAGTTCTAACGCTTAAAGACAGAGACAACACTTCAACAGCGATCATAGCGATTGCTTCTGCGATTCTCTCTCTCCTTTGCCTCACTTCTGCAGCAGCCTTCCCTCTCGTTCGTCATCTACACCACAACGTCTTTGAACGCGTCCACAGATTCGCCGGCTGGTCTGCTTTAGGCCTTGTTTGGGCGTTTATAGCTCTGACGGTTTCCTACGATCCAATATCAAGATCCTACACCGGTAATCTCGTCTCGAAGCTGATCAGAACACAAGAGTTTTGGTTTACGCTAGCCATCACAGTAGCCATTTTGCTCCCTTGGTTAACCGTGAGACGCGTTCCGGTTGATGTATCATCTCTCTCGGGTCACGCGTCGCTGATCAGATTCAGAGGAGGCGTGAAATCAGGGATCTTGGGTCGGATCAGTCCATCGCCATTGTCGGAATGGCACGCTTTTGGGATCATCTCTAATGGGAAGACATCGCACATGATGTTAGCTGGTGCTGTCGGTGACTTCACCAAGTCCTTAGTCTCAAAACCTCCAACACACTTATGGGTTCGTACGGTTCACTTTGCTGGCTTACCCTATCTCGTTAACTTGTATGACAAGGTAAATAAATCTCTAAACTTAGAAATTTAACTGGTGACAATTTTCAACAGTTTATTATATTAGATTTTTGACAATTTTCAAAAGATTTTGACGCTTTCTGAAAAATTAGAAATTTTTGAAGATTGTTATTATAAAACCTTTTTTTTAGTTCAGTTGAGATACCATTTAAAGTTGCATTTTCTGAAGAAAAAATGCCCTCAAAATGACATTTTTGCAAGTTAAATCTCAACTTGCAAAAAAATGCATATCATACCTACGAAATTGAATTTTTAGTCGTAATAAAACATGTTGTCAAATTTGTTGAATTATATATCAAATTGAAACTCTCACGAAGAGGAGTCCAAAACTACTCAAAGAATTTAGAAACTACATTATAAGGTATGTGATCGTAAAGGCTTTTTAAAGAATGACAGAACATATATATTGTGAGTTAGATTCGACTTCGTGGGTTTGATCTGCTTTTTTGACGAATTGAGAGTAAACTAAGAAAAGAAAAAAATTATTTCAAGGATTGTGTTGCTGAAAACCCTTTAAAGTTTAATATATACTAACATTTGTTTTTTCAATAGGTATTACTTGTCGCCACGGGTTCGGGGATTTGCGTATTTTTATCATTTTTCATGCAGCAGAGTAAGGCAGATGTGTATTTGATATGGGTGGCTAAAAGATTAGATGATAATTTCGGATCAGAAATTGTGGATCAGATTAAAGACTATCCTCATCAAGACAGGATCATAGTTCATGATACTGCAATTCTAGGACGACCTAATGTGTCTGAAATGAGTGTGGAAGCTTCCAAGAAGTTTGGAGCTCAAGTCGTGATAGTTACAAGCAATCCTGAAGGAAGTCGTGATGTCGTTAATGCTTGTAAAGCTTCTGGTGTTCCTGCTTTTGGTCCCATTTGGGATTCTTAGATTTCTAATTTTATCTTCTTTTACTTAGAAAAAAATCATATTATGAGTTCCGAGTTAATAAGATAAGACTTCGTTAGCTTACCCCACGAAAAAAAAGAAAAAGAAATAGCGTTAAGTCAAGTAGTAATCTTCGAAGACTTTGACTATGTATTATATACGAGTTATACTTCTAAAATCTAAACAAACAGTGCAACTTTGACTTAGTTCTTATTAGGAGTAACCCGGATGGTTGGTTAACCTTTTTTTTTACTTAACCATGATTGAACCGTTGTATATATATGTGAACAATGTATCACTTTATAAGTTTAGGTCTATTTGATGATATTAGTAGTATTTTTGATACTAATGTGAACTTCCCGATAGTACTCAGATTGCTATTACTCGATCTGGTACTGTCAAGTTATCAGACAAACTCACCCTTAAAAACGTCATCTTCATTCCTTTTTTCCATCTAAACTTGATCAGCGTAAGCTCCTTACTTCAACATTGTGCATAAGTGCATTCTCAGTTAACTTCTACCCTTCATTTTGCACAATCCAGGAGTTTACTTAGGGCTCGATGATTCGGAGGGTAAACTTCAAAACAAACTCTACCTTCTGGAACAAGAATTCTCACCGTCATCCCCAAATGCTCCTCTCATTTGTCATCTTTCTGATTCAAGCACTCTTTGGCATTCAAGGCTGGGTCACCCTTTTTTTTCAAAGATTCAAACTCTATCTGAAGATCTTTCTATCCCCAAATCCAAACTCAAAGACTGGTCACATTGTAAAACTTGTTATTTGGCATAACAAAAACGTTTAGCTTTTACTTCTCACAATAATCTTTCAGATCATCATTTCGATCTTATTCATATGGATGTATGGGGGTTTTTCTCAGTAGTTTTTATAGAAGGTTACAAATACTTTATAACTCTTGTTGATGATTGTACTCGGGTGACTTGGGTATATTTGATGAAATCAAAAAGTGATGTTCTTACACTATTTTTCTCATTTCTCAACACTATTGAAACTCAATATTCCTCAAAAGTTAAAACTATTCGTTCAGACAATGCTCCCGAGTTAGCTTTTACCTCTCTTCTTTATTCAAAAGGGATTTTCCACTATTTTTCATGAGCTTATACACCACAACAAAATTCTATGGTGGAAAGAAAACACCAACATATTCTCAATGTGGCCAGATCTCTCCTCTTCCAATCCAATCTACCTTTACAATACTGGACTGACTGTATTCTTATAAACAGAATCCCATCACCTCTTCTCCAAAACAAAACCCCATTTGAACTCCATCTAAACAAGAAACCAAATTACTCTCTCCTTAAAAACTTTGGTTGCCTATGTTATGTTTTGACTTATGCCAAAGACAGACATCTCTCCCCGATCTGAAGCTTCTGTATTTCTGGGTTATCCATTGGGTTATAAGGGTTACAAAGTCCTTAATCTGAAAACACAAGCCATCACTATTTCCAGAAATGTTACATTTCATGAAGACATATTCCTTTTCCACTCCTCTTCCTTATCCGAATCCACCATAGACCTTTTCTCCAACACCATCCTACCTCTTCCTATCCCTGACACAACTAATCTATCACCAACTCCACCTATGACCGAAACATTATCTGATAACACTAGTTCCCCCTTAGAGTAAGAAAATACTACTGATATGAATGCAAATAGACCTAAGCGGAACACTAGAGTTCCTTCTTATCTGTCAGATTACCATTGCAATATGGTAATCACATTGAGGTTTCAAAAGATTCCACTGCTCATCCTATCTCTTCAGTACTGGATTATTTGAGATTGAATGCTGATTATCAAGACTACATACTGCATATATCTACTGAGTCAGAGCCAAAGAATTTTCTTGAAGCTGTACGAAATGAAAAGTGGAAGGTGCTCCTGAATGAAGAGCTTCAAACATGTGTCAAAACTGGCACTTTCTCAGTAGTATCATTGCCTGAAGGGAAACATCCAATTGGTTGTCGCTGGGTGTACAAAATTAAATACAATGCAGATGGAACAGTTGACAGATACAGAACTCGATTAGTTTCGAAAGGGTATACACAGCAAGAAAGCGTTGACTACATTGATACCTTCTCACCTGTGGCAAAGCTTGTGACGATTAACTTGATTCTTAATCTTACAGCAAAGCATGGTTGGTCCTAGACTCAAATGGATGTTACTAATGCTTTTCTGCACGGGGATCTTGAAGAAGAGATACATATGCATCTTCCTCCAGGCTATACACCTCCTCCAGGTGAATCTCTGCCTCCAAATGCAGTCTGGAAATTGCTTAAGTCTCTATATGGACTTAAACAGGCGTCACAGCAATATAATAAGAAATTCTCTGATGTGTTGCTACAAGATGGTTTTATTCAGTCTGAGACAGAACACACTTTTTTTGTCAATCATCATGGAACAATCTTTATTGCTTTACTGGTATATGTGGACAACATTCTCATTGCAAGCAATAATGATGATGCAGTTTCAGCCTTAAAAGTGACTATAGCTCAAGCCTTTAAACTTAAAGACCTTGGTCTGGCTAAGTACTTTCTCGGACTGGAAATTGCAAGGACAAGGGAATTTCAGTGTGCCAACGAAAATATGCATTGGATTTGCTCAAAAGTGTGGGATACTTGGGTTATAAACCTGTTGCTACTCCTATTGATCCTACAGTGAAATTGAGTTCAGAAAGTGGTGAGCTTCTTACAGACCTATCTGTTTACTGTGCTCTCATAGGCAAGCTTTTGTATCTCACAATAACAAGGGTATGATATCACTTTTGTGGTTCACAAGTTGAGTTAATTTTTATCAACACCACGAACTCATCATCTTGATGCAGCCCACAGAGTTGTCAAGTACCTGAAAGGTGATCCAGACAGAGGTCTCTTTTATTCGGAAAACTCAGTGGTTTGCCTACAGACTTTCTCGGATGCAGATTGGACAGCTTGTCCAGATTCCAGAAGATCAACTACATGATTTTGTGTCTTTCTTGGTGATACTTTGATCTCATGGAAGTCTAGAAAATAGAAGATTGTTTCTAGAAGCACTGCAGAAACCGAGTACAGAGCGTTGACTGATACAACATGTGAACTAGTGTGGTTGAATCAACTCCTGCAAGATTTGAATATTCAAGTTGCTGGACCGGCAAACCTCTTCTGTGATAGCACATCGGCTATACAAATTTCTTCAAACTCAGTCTTCCACGAACGCACGAAGCACATAGAGAACGATTGTCACTTGGTTCGTGAAAGATTGAGAGCTGGATTCTTGAACTTGATGCATGTAACAACAGGGAATCAACTTGCAGATTTGTTCACCAAGGTTTTACCTCGTAAGACCTTCAAGCTTTTGATGACACGATATTCATTTTTTCAAGTCTTTTTGTTCCTCCTTAATGGGTTTGGAAGAATTCGACTTAAAGGAGGGGTATTAGGAGTAAACCGGATGGTTTATATTGGTTAAGCTTCTTTTTACTTAACCATAATTGAACTGTTGTATATATGTGAACAATGTATCATTTTGTTAGTTAATGAGAAATATCATCTTTTTCTCTCTCTTATCTGATAGTTCTCATCATATATACAATATTTGAACAATTAAAAACTATAAATTTTTTTTTTGGGGTTAAATCCATAAACCTTGAATGCTTACCAAAAAAACCCATAAAATTTGAGAAATTAAAAAATAGTTTTTTTTAATCAACCACACATTTATTAACCATAAAATTTGGTTCTCTAATCTAAAAAAATAACGTTTACATTAAAAAATCAACAAATGTGACGCTAAAAACAAGAATTAATCACTTTGTAATATTCGAAGAAAACAAAAAGCAAGAAATTAGGAAATTCAACGATGATATCGGAGTAGTCCAAACTCAAAGATTATATAGTCAACACTTAATTCAACGGTTTTGATTTTCAAGAATAAGGGTCCGAATGGCAACAGCGTTTTTGGCTGTGCGGAAAAAGCGGTTTCAAACTGTGGTACGGTTCAACTGCGGTACGTGTGGGAAAATATATTAGCGGGACAAATGCGGTTTTTATATAATTAGCAGTACAAAATAATGTTTGATTAGTGAAAAAATAATTTGCGATCCACAATAAAATGTTAGAATGGTGAATAAGAGAAAAATATAACTTCAGTGCATAAAAAATGTTTTGAATATAAATGCAGTGAATGGTAACAGATGAAGTGCGTATTTCGAAGAAAATTTTTGAAAAACGCAATAAGTCCACCAATAAAAAAAAAATTAAGTGAAAAAGCTGTTTTTTTTTTAAAAAAGAAAAAAAAACATCTTCAGCGGCTTTATTCAACAGATAATAGGACGACCGCAGTTCAAAAACGTCTCACACCTCTTATCCAGTGGATTTTCGAAAATCGCAGTGGATGATAATTTACTTTTTATTTATTTATTTAAATTCGATTATTTAATTATTATATCAATCATATATATACATATATCTATGCAACCTAAGTTTGCACACAAAGCAAAAAAAAAACGCAATTACATAATAAGTATTAAAAAAAAAACTTCTTGGCATCCTCTCTCTCACTCATTTAGGTAATTTTTTTTATAAGTTAATGCTTTTAAGTTAACTCTTTTTTTCATACCCATCATTATATTTCATGAAAAATCGTTTTATAGCAATTCAAGATATTTGAATGGTTTTTTAAATGATTTTTGATTTTTGAAGTGTTTTCTGGTTTTAGATAATCCAAAAACAAGTTTTATAGCCATTAAAGATTTTTTTACAAAAATTCTACAACTTAGGAAAATTAGTGTTTGAGTGAGTTAAATATTTATCAAAAAAAATCAGAATATATTTATATAATTTTCATATTAAAAATGGATATACTTTATAATGTAAGCATATAGTATTTATAATTAGTTTATAAATTTTAAATTATATATAATTTTTGTTATTGAGAAATAGAAGAAACTGTGTTTTGCATATATATAATTATTATTATGAGACAAATAACTAGAATAAAAGTGAACACATATATATCTTTTCAGTCCCATTTTAAAAACATTATATATGTATAATAAAAAAAATTTAAAAACTAAATAAATTACCTTTCAATTTTTTTTTATCAAATTATATAGAGATTTATAAATGTCAATTAATTGAAAAGATCATCATTGATGTGTCTTTAGGTTT